ACCATAAGCAGGTAAATAAAAGGGAGAAAGACGTGGGGTTGGAAGACATACATCACACACACACACTTTTATTGTTCATGCGGTTGTACTGGCTCAACCGTGGGGTTGGAAGACATACATCACACACACGCATACTTATTACAATATTTCCCTCACGTGGAGGGTCCGAATAAATAATATACAGTCCCAAATGAATAATTACAGTCCAAATATGTACAAAACCCTAATTAATTAACAAATTAAATTAGGAAAGCAATAATTTGGCATGCAAGCCAGGGACTGCCTCAAATCTGCTCCGGATGATGAATGATGCATGCTCCGGTTGCCTTTGTCGGAAAATCCCTTGTGATGCCCCGGTTTGCCTCTGTTTGCAATTGTTCTTGGAATGCGTGCCAAGCTCCGGAAGGCTGCCGATTTCTGATTTGCTGCAACAGAGAGCAACAAAGGGGTGTGGCAAAATATTTTCACATATGTATGCATGACTACTCTTCGGGGAGTGTAGTCCTCGATCCTCGTGCCACCAATCATGCATCTCGATGCATGATGGCCGAGGAGTCGAATTGCACGACTCGATATGAAATGAATGCACATATAAACGCAACAAGACCTAAACTCTATCATGGATAATCCGGAGTGTCAGTGACTGGGAATTGAGACACGTTTCGTCACTCAAAGTACGAAACGTCCCTCGTTTCCCATGCTCGGGCTAACTCCTATCCCAAGCACAATGCAATATGCATGACATGCATGAATGCAACTAATATACAACCTAGCATGCACAATACTATGAGATGGCATACACAATGCACGATGTAACAAGGCATACACAATGCTCTAACATACAACCTAGCATACGCAATGCTGTGAAATGAAATGGCATACACAACGCACAATGGACTTACACCAACATGAGTGGACCTCAGCCACACTCATATCAGTAGCCATTAGGTGAAAAATGAGACTCTCAAAATGCGTGCACACATGTACGCAAACCGAGGACCAAGCCTAAGGCATCAAATACCACTCAACCCAAAGCATGGCAAGGCATGGAACATGATATGCAAACATGCGAATTTCAGCGCTGAAATATGATACAAAATAGCCCCGAAACATGGAAACATGGCACCCGATGCATGGATTGAACCCCAAAACTCGAAACTAGGCACATGGAATGACTTACAACTATACAAAGCATGCATTATTTGATCATGAAGCATGAAGACAGATGCAAGACAGTCCCAAAACATGCATATTTCCAGTTTATAATAAGTCTCAAAAATGAACACAAATAGGGCTAATTCTATCATGCAAAAATGGCCCTAAAAGAGAGATTAAACACAAAGGGACAGCAGCTGGCCCCAAATAGAAAAGATCCCTTCAACAAAGTTTAAGAGGGGCTCAAAAAAAGGCACTTTACATTTTATATTAAGCCACGAAAATAATCACAAATAAGGCCAAACTATCATGCAAGAAAAGGCCTAAAAGAGGGGTAAAGAGACAAGTGGTAGCTGCTGTTCTCAAACAGAGGAGAGCCCTTCAACAAAATTGAAGAGGGACTAAAAAAAATATATTTCACAGTTTATGGAAAAGTCCAAAACAACTCAAAAATAAGCCTAAAATACTATGCAAAAATTGGCCTAAAAGAGAGATAAAGAGGCAAGTGGTAGTAGGAGACCTCAAACAGCAGGAGGTCCTTGATCAAATATGAAAAGGGGCTCAAAATATGACTATTTACAGTTTGGGTCGGAGCCCAAAAAATCTAGCAAGTATGGCTTAGATAACATGAAAAACAAGACAAAAAAGAGGGAAAAAAGGGACTCACCGTTGTAGAGCCAAGCTTCAACAACTTTTTGGCCGAGTTTGGGAGCTCTTCACCACTGGAAAGCAGCCTCAAGTTTCTGGAATGGAGTGTAGATTGATAGGCTAGGAGTTGATGTAGAAATGGCCAAGAACCAAGTTATTTTGAAGCTTGAATGAGAGGGATAGAGAGAGATGTGTATACCAAGCTCAAAACAATTTTTCTAACCCTCAGAAATAAAGGGGAGGGGCTGGTTATATAGAGGAGAGGCCAAGGGAAAAGGGGGGGAAAATGAAATTCAAATTTTCCCCCCAAAAGAGCCCCCCTCGGATATAGGATCTGGGGGGAAAAATAGGGCATATCTGTAAGGAACCAGGTGAGGGGGTCATGGCCGGCCAGGTTTTGAGGGTTCAGGGGGCTGGCCGGCCACCTCCCATGGCCGGCCGACCAAGGGTCAAAAGGGTCAATGACAATTGCTGGTCGGCCACCTCATATTGGTGGCCTCCCATGTCTGCACAACACAACTATGTGGTTAAAACCCGGAGAATGTGAACCAGGATAGAGAAAACACCATTTTTTAGAGGGGTTCAAAAGAGTCAGGCACAATTACTGGTCGGCCACCAAATATAGGTGGCCTCCCAGGTGTGTACAACACAAATATGGAGTTTAGGGTTCAAGAAAGTGGCCCCGGGGTGGTCAACATTGGTTTTCAAGTGAGGAAAACGGGCGTTGGAGAGCGGTGAAGAAATAAAGCTGGATTTTCAGAACAATTTCTGGCCTCCCACCCTCCTACAAGCTTCCTAACTATGAAAATAAGGTCTCCACAAAAAACGAACCAAAACGCGCGGCCCGGGGCCCCAAAAATGGGCTGTTAAGCACCGGAGGTGGCATTCAACCACGAAGTTGGTCTCTCGGGCCACAGTGTCCCCCAAAAGGGAGTAAATAAGGTGTATACCAAAAATCGGAGCAAACGGAGGTGGTTAGGTGGTCCCAAACCGAGGCACACGGCCGTCGGCTCCGAAAAACTAGAAACCGGGCTCCAAACGGGAAAAATGGCCTACGACCACGAAACGTAGCCTACAACCACTGAGAGATGGTCTACGAGACCTCTCCCTCCCTTTGGGAAGGGAAAATAGAGAAAACAGAGCCTGGTTCGCAAACCGAGGCAAAGCACAAAAGAGCTCCGAAGTCCGGAGACAAGGCTCATAGCCGAGACTCGAAAACCTCAGAACGAGCACAACATGCGACATCACCAAGCGCTCAATCGGTGACGTCTGAGTCTTAAGGTCGGTAAAAAATGGGGTGTCTACAGTGTGATTGGTGGCACGAGGATCGAAGACTACACTCCCTGAAGAGTAGTCATGCATACATATTTGGCATTGACGTTGATATTCAGTAATTCGTCGTAAAAAATAATCGCAAAAATCTAAATTTATCTATCCAGCCATGAGGTAGATCATAGGTTTTTTCCCAATTCATTCTTCCATGAATTGCTGAAAGTGAAAAAAGATTCATCCAAATTTAAGTAAATAATTCAAAATGGCTTTTCAAATTAACGAATTTTTATCTCTCGAATATTCAACTGACCAATTAATTCTTTGTAACGTACTCTATTTTTTTTTGACAAATAAGCGAGCAGGCGTTGACGTTTTCCCAGAATGGCATTGACGTTGTCCCAGAATTTTTCGCAGACCTCTCTGAACTGCTCGTATGAACTAATGAAATACCTATGGTTTGATACATAATAAACTGTCCATCATTTTTTATAGACAGACAAAGGGGTTCGATAATTAATATCCGCCTTTTCATCAATTCTGTAAGAGTTAAATTCTTTTGAATCAGCATTATATCTATATTAATTTCTCTCCTTTGAATAGAGGATATAGTAACTTTTCTTGGATTTCTCAGTCTAAGCAGGAGACAATATACTTTGATATTATTGATCATTCTTTGATTAGTAGTGTATGTTAATATTAATGTTTTTGATTTGTGTGTGTGTGTGTGTGTGTGTGTGTGTGTGTGTGTTGGGTTGTGGATTTGAATAGGTTACATTATTTGATTGCTGACTGAAATTTTGAATGGTTTGCTTTTATTTCTATTTTTTTGTTTTCAAATTATTACCTCTTTTACAATTTGTTGTTGATTTACTTTTGTGTGTGTGTGTGTGTGTGTGTGTGTGTGTGTGTCTAGAAAACTTTTATTTATGATGGACATCACTCTTTAGCAAGTTTGGCCTCTCTCTCTCTCTATATATATGTGTGTATTCTTTCTCAGTTTGATCATTGTTGTTGCCTCTATCAGGTAAAGCATGAATGACTATAGTGACTGTAGGTTAGACAAATGCCTATTTTTTTGAATTAAATTGTTAGTCATAGATTTCAAAGCATTGTTGACTATGCCTTTTCTGTTTTGACCTTTTTTTGCCAATTTTGATATTTAGTTGAACAGCATTTGTTTTGGGAAGTTCATGGTTTTTGTTTAGAGTTCAGAGTACTATCAACAATAGTCCTAACATGCACCGGTGGATTGAATTGAATTGTCATTTCATCTCTCGTCTCGCCAGGTGTAAAGATTTATTAAGAGGCAACTATCCTATTTTCATTACAGGTTATACTTTCATCATCAAAAATCAAAAATCAAAAAAAAAAAAAAAAGAAAAAAAAAAAGACAGAAGATTTATGTAAGCTCAAAGCTCAACAAAACAACATACAAGGGGCGGTTAGGGTTCTGGAAGTAGTTGAATCTCTTCTCATCTTGGTATTTTGTAAAGAGGCATGTTTTGCGCCTTATATTGCATGCATTTATATGGACGAATAATGCATTTGATGTGAAAGAATTGGAGGATAAAAACACCAACATCCATATCTCTAAATTTGAAAGTTTGGTTGAAAATGCTTTAACATAATAGTATCATGAAAATTTGTAAGAATTATTTGTTGGATAAATTTTACTTTGTACCCGTTAAGTTTAAACATTTTCTCTTTGGCCATAAAATGTTTTTTTTTTTTTTTTCACCACTTGGTCTCCAATGTTTTTTTTTTTTCCTAGTTTGCTCTGAAAAACCTACGTCCATCAAAATTGCTACTTTGGTAGCTACATGGTATCACATGACATAATAATACATTATTATACAAATTTAGATATAGATCCAACCCAAAACCAACCTACTAATGTTTGGGTCAATTATTGACACAACATAGCATAATGACAAGGAAAGAAATGGTAGGATCCTGACAACAAATGTGAAGATAACAGAAACTTTGACACCATAAGCATTGACCAAAATATATGCACTGTTAATTTGGGTAGAAAGTAATTACATGTTCTTAACTCATTGTACATGCATGTCCTTTCTTCCTTTCCCTCTTTCTCCTTATTTGTTTGTTTTGCCGTCATTTTGTTTTCATTTCTTTCTTGCATAATTTTACATCATAAAACCACCTAACTTTCAAATGCATTTGGTCAATCAGTCAAGTGTGACAAAGTGGAAGTCTCAAGTTCTTGCTCTCTTTCAATGGGCACACTTCTCGATGATGGACCAAACATACTCAATACCACCTGCAATCCACAAACACAAACCTATATATGGTTAGTAGTCCAATATTTTGCATTACAGAATGGTCATTTACATGACAAGGCACATATGTGGTGGAAAATGCCGCTTGAAGCCCCATCTGATCATGTACTTTTATTTAAGGAAAATCTTCTATCACATTAGTCAGAGGGATGGATCATTATACCACAAAAATCTCTAAACTGACAAGCAAACAAAACTGAAAGTCAGAGGGATGGATCATTATACCACAAAAATCTCTGATTTTGCGAAATAAAGGACAATGACTCCGACTAGCTTTGTGAGTGTAATTCCACTGCAAAACACAAAACAGCAAAGAAAAATGAAGAAAAAACAGTAGTCAAATAACAATGTCGTGATAAATCAACTCCAAGCCCATCCACCATACACAAGCACACCACGATAGAAGCTAGAGAAAGGTTCCAAATGTAATTCCCAATACTGGTGAGGGGAAAAAAAAAAAGGAAATTTGACTGCTGTAGCTTTTGTCTATTTTCTGTAACGTGGAAAATTAGGCAGTGTTTGTCCATACCAAACTCATAAATTTGCAAGTTGCAACCAAGTTACAAAGGATTATGTTCAGAAACAGTTATGTGGACAGGAAACAAGAACAAAAATGACTCCGGGACAAATAGTTAGCAAGAAGATTCTCCAACAATACTAAAGACGAATAGTTTAATTTCTGTAGGCATGGTGGTCATTCGGTATCAGCCATGTTAGGGAAACCAGTTTTTGTTTCCGCAAAGTAAGACCCAGGATGAAAAATTTTAGCTTTAAGTATGAACCTTTGGTGGAATGAATTTACTCTTCCTAAACAAAAGAAAAATCAACCACATAAATCAACCACATACAGTTAATAGGAAGCCATGTTGCCATCTCTAGCCAAAAGTTCACATTAGTTAAACTTAAAATACACTTAACGGATTGTCCTTCAAATTTACAAGGATTAATCCCAAAGACAATGGAATAATACAGGTAAGAGAACTCTATCACCTCAGAAGAACATGTTGGGGTAGTGTGGGATCCTAAGAAGTACTGGACACTAACAACTCGACCGTGGATCAAGGGTACTTTAGAGTAAGGGTATGTTGGTATTTCCGCACTTCTGACATGTTGCCATAATTTTTATATATTTATAGTTAAGGGGGAACAGCTCTCTCTCTCTCTATATATATCTTGTAAAATTTCTGATCATAGTAAAAACTGAAACAACTGTGGATGTAGCCCTCATTTGGGGTGAACCACGTAAATTTTTGTGTTCTTATGTGCTTGATTAGATTCTTGCTTTTATTCCTGTTTGTGTCCTATGTCTCACCGATCCTAGTTAGGTATATCAATTCCTAACACAACACATTTATCCATTTTATCAGTCTAACTTTTGCATTCTGCAAATAACACAACACATATTTATGCATTTTATCAGTCTAACTTCTACATTCTGCATTTCTGTCAGATATACTCGCATCTGACTTTCATATTATCACTTTTCAGCTGAGTATTGCTCAGAAATTTCAACATGCTTACAGAACGTCTCTCACATATCAAGGTAATTAATGGTAATAAACCTAAAGACAGAAGATCCCATCGTACATAGAGCCTCCTTTGATCATTGGCTCTTATCTCCACGGCTTACCTGTGTTAAGAGCAGAAATGTTGTCAACAGAACAATTGGTTTTCCTAGCAAGTCCTGTTGAATTGGCTCTATGCCAAACAACAGCTACTGCCTCCTTCAATAAGACAAGAAGTAATCACTACTACAAATCCTTGAAACAAAATAAAAAGTGCATTTGAATACTGACAAAGAAGGCATGTCATATGTGCACACAGAACTTAACAACAATCCCTATTGACATTATGAGGTTCACCACTGAAACAACATTCAGTTGGATATCCAGAATTGCCATCACACCTTGCAGAGTTTTTATAAAGAAAATTTCGGTTTCACTTTTTTTCTTTAGACAAATTGTGTAGCCAATATATAAGTCCTACTAAACGATGAACAATTAATATGAACTAAATACATAACAAGAATGTTATAAATGTTTTAGAAGAAGCACAATATATGTTTTGTCAAGGCAGAAGATTTACCAAAAGATCCACAACAATCATGGCCAGGACAAGAACAATGATAGCTGAACTCCATAAACTGCATTTAATAGGCAAGGAAAAATAATAGAAGTAAAGATTATTAAATTCAACAAAGAAAATATTAACTATCCAAGAGGAATTTTTTTGTCTCTCATGAAGGCAGAAATATGGCTCAACACTGAACTAAAGGCTAGTAAAGAAAGCAAACCTAGAGGTGATAACTAGGCAAACAAGAAATACAGCACCTGTCAAATCAAGAAATTAGATAGTCAATAATTGCTCAAAATAATGCATCCAATGGCATGAAACGATACAAATACATAATATATTGTTAAATGATGTTAGTCACAATTAGAAGGTAATCAAATACATGTGTATCTCTAACATCTGGAATTAGATAAATGAACAGAAAATTCCGGCAAAAAATAGCACCTTCAATCAGAATACTAGTTACACATTCTGAAGTCTTAAGACTTGCATACAAACGAACAAAATTTTCAATTATGTTTCACAGAAGAAATAAATACTGCCTTTACTAATGGAGGCTTCTAACCACCACAAAGATGACTTGATCATATCATACAGAACAACTTGAAAGCAGCATGAAACAACAATTCAAGCAGAGATAGCAGTAAAATGAAAGAATTTAATGGAATTACTAGCAACCACCAGGACAATAACATTACATAATTGGAAACTCCAATCTTTGTCACATGGAGTGAAAGGGCTCTGCAAATATGCATCATTGTAGTGTAGAGTTTGAATACCAACCAAGTGCTATAGCAATGTTGATCACAGTTGTCTCCCATATATCCAGATATTGTTCAAAGAAAATATATAACACCGAATACGGAAAGATCTCGATCTGCATCAGGTAAGTACAGTCAATGCGTTAAAGACACAACGTCATGACAAGAGCATAGGCTTAGAATAAGATGTAAAATACCTGAACATGATGTCTGCCTATGTCAGATTCCATATCCCAAGTAAAAAAGAAGAAAAAACTATTGATAAGATTCAAGGGAGTAGACTCAAAGCAAAAGACAATTTTTTGGGGGGATAAAGGTTTGGAAGGGGCCTCACTGAGATTCAATAAAGTGAGCATAAGCCACACACCAGAAAAAGAAATATTGTTTAAACACAGAAATTGCCTCATGCATACAGCCTCAGACCCAGTCCCAAGTCATTTGAAAAACCAATTACTATAATCTTGAGGGTTGATTGTTTATTTACTCTTCTCCTTGGCACTACCACTTAAATTGAATGTGTCAATAATACCATAAAGAATATCTAACCGACTAGGCCATGAATGGAAATGCAATAAAGAATTATCTAAATGATCATGCCATGAATGGGTCAACCAAATGCATGGTGCAAGGGTATACTTCCAAATAACTTCTATGAATATATTGAATAAAAATGGAAAGAATTCATCACCATTGTGAGCCTTAAAGCATAAAAAGAAAAAAAAAGTACTTGCATTGCAGATAACTCCAAACAAGAATGAAAGAAGGGAACATTGATTTCGGAAGATAAGAAGAGCTAAAATTATTAGACAGCGAAATTGCCAATGCAACAAGAGATGAACAAGAGAAATAGTTCATAAATTACACATTTTCTTAGAAGTTACTAGGATTTCCTACAAACAACTTATTTTGTTACATTTTGGAATATTAGCCCACTTGCATAACTAATTGACCAGGAAAATGCAATTAATGTTGCATCATAAGTGAGCCGGAATTATTCTTCAAAAAATGTCTTACGTGAGTTATGACATTAATTGGTTACTGTCTCAAGAATGGATCTCAATCAAAACCTGACTGGCAAGAGAATAATACAAATTGTCTCTATGCAGTGTATAATTGATGAAGCTTTAACCACAACTGAATAAATAACATGAGCAAACACCTAATCTAGAATCTTGTTTGACATGTATTTCCAGAAACTCAGTTAAAGATTAATCATAGTCAAGGTATTGATTGAAAGTCTCAAATAATTTGCTCAAAATACTTTTGATACCAAGGATAGACTGCACACAACGGAAGAGAAAAACCAAAGAAATGAGAAGCACTTCCGATATGAAAAACCAATACAGTCCAACAAATAAATTAACATCTTTGGCAAGTGTAGATTTGTCACTTTCTATGTTCTATAGACATATAATTGCAGATGGTCTATATCTCGTAGAGGAAAAGAATACCCATAACTATATACGTTTGTCAAATAAGTCCTTTCACTGAAAGCCAATACCCCAAACCATATTTATATGCAACTATAACAGCAAAAGAATATTCCAGGACAAAACTGCAAGTTAAATTTGTGAACCTTCAAAGAATCAGAAACCCTTGAGCTAAACTCTCGTGCAGCATGCATTGAATTAACAAAATCATCCTGTAGAAAAGGACAAGCAAATCAGGGGGAATATTCTCTGAGTGAAGTTAAGCAGATTATCAGAAGTATCAATCCACTAAAAAGATCCTTCTGTACCTGTTTCCTTAGTGGTGTGTGGTAAGTACAAAACTCAGAGGCTCGTATAACACCACTCTCGCAACCTGACAACAGGGTAAAAGCTGTTAATAATTCATTTGATGGTACAAGCCAAATGGAAGTTCTGATATATTTAAGCACTACATCATAGTACATTTCTTTGGATTGATTACATTACGACAAGATATATATGTGTAAGCAACAGAACATACCATTCAGATCCACACTGCTTGTGTAAGCCCTATGGCCACCCTTTGCACAGTCAGCAGAGCTCAGTGCATTGAAGAACCATGGTAGCTTCTCCTTGAGCTGAGCTGTAGATGGACGACCATTATCCAGATCCGAGTGAAAGGAAGCATTGGAACAATTGCACAATGTTAGTTTTAGAAAACTCCTTTTGCATTTCATAAGTTGTAAGTTGTAAATTAATTGCAAGATAGCCCACCCATAAGTACATTCAGCCCTACAAAGTACAAAGTACTAACAGAAGGACACTGGGATGTGTTTTCAAATACATAAAGCAGTGGGATCTTACAGTTGTACAATCCTTGCAATTAATTGCATAATGAAGATCATTATGCAGTTTTCAAAAAGTCTCCAAGTCGCAAGAATCTTCATCAGGTGAACAACCAGAAGGCTAAAGAAAGAAAAATGGCTAAGTTAGTTATCGGATGATGCGTCATACTCGAGTAACGACATACAAAGGTCATTTTACATTTGAAAACATTCAAAACCATCAAATCAAGGATTCACAATATCAAAATGAACGCCATACCAGCTAGTTCTTTAAGAAATACAACACATTAACATCTCAAAAATCATTCAAACTTGTAGCTTTTTTTTTCTTTTCTTTTTTTCCCACTTTCAAAAATACAAGATACCATAAACTATTGGACCATACATTAATATGGATGATACTTGAGACAGAGAGAGAGAGAGGGCATATTAATAAAAACTTTAATTAACAACGAAGGACTTCGACTAAGAAAAGAAAAAACAGTGAGCATTTCCAGACATTGATCTAGACAGCAATCATTCCCACTAATTAACCACATGAAAAGCATGGTATATTACCAACCTGGTCATCAGGGGGACAATAATTGCCATCTACAAATTTTCAACAACAACTAAAAGCCTCGGGTGACATCCATACAAGAAAGTCATCAAACCACGAGGCAGCTGGCTTAGCAATGTGGGTTGATTCAGGCATTAAAGATGCCCTTGAAATCTGCAGAAGACAGAAATAAAAATAAATTGTCCCAATTACTGATTGTATTGCTGAAAGATGAATGTAAAAGAAACTATTTACAGTTGTTGACTGACCCTCAAGAAAGGCTCGTGGAAATTACCCTTAAGAGAAGGAGATAAAATGTGTACACAAGTAAACTACTTACAGTCATCAATCTCTTATATGATATTTGCCACACACAAAAAATAAAAATAAAAGAACAAAAGTAAAAAAAACTACAGACTTTGTAGTGGAAACACAGAACCAATGATTTTCCTTTCTTCATAATTTTCTAACATTTCAGGAAAAAAAAAAAGTGAGCATTTTGCACGCATTGGAACCATTTTCTGATGCATGTTGTCACGTCAACAAACATACCATACACTCGTTAATAGTAGGAAGTCTCTTATACATCATACGTTAACACTATATGCACCAAAATAAGAGAGAAAAAATTGAAGTATTGTATCATTGCACTATCGATGAGATGTTATAAAAGAGGAAAAAAAACCCTCATGGAATTTCAAATATGCTGAATGTTGGTGCCAGCACAATAGTGGCTAACACTAATTCTGGTACTTTGAGACTTTTTGAAAACTGTATAATGATCTTCATTTTGGTGTTCCACATTAAAAATGCATTCAAATGCAAGTTTATGCTTCTTTATTCCCAACTCAACCATATTGTCTCTTGCCAATCTTATCCATCACTAGAGCCCAGAAAAACACTAGACCTAGGATTACCCCCAAAGGAAGCCTTAAATACTTTAGGAGTAAAGACTCAATGAGACAACTATACCAGCAAACCAATCCCTATAAACCTTCTTTACGGAAATTAATCCTCACAATGGTACTTTTATCCAAATTCTCCTTAAGCCCCGTAACCAACTCAAACACTTTTAACAAGAAAGGCAAATAAACCATTTTTACTTCCTTACCAAAAGATAATGTTATCATCTGAAAACTAAAAGTGGAACATGGAAACATTATCCCTACATATCAAAAAGCCATCCACCAAACCCACCTTTTCCCTATCAACCAATCAGTTCAAAACACCAACCACTAATGTAAAAATAAATAGGGATACTGTAACCCGTTGTCTAAGCCCCTAGTGGCTCTAAACAAATACCCACTTCCATTAACTACTACTTAAAGATTCGAAGAAGAAAGAAAGTCCCTGATCCATTTCCTCCACCTAGCTCCAAACTCTTTCTTCTCCATTGAAAAATCTAAAAACCCACAACTTTTAAAGAGGGAGGGCCACTAACAATGTGCATGAATATGAAGAAATTATGGTTCTGGGAGGAAAAAGTGATATGCCTATCTTGTCATGCAAATAGTGATGTCAAAAGTTTGTTACATTGAATTACGTGTTGAACTAACAAGAAAAGAACAAGTTATATCAAATGTTGCTACACCATGAGTTTTGCAAAAAGTTTGTAAGACATCATAGGAAAAAAGGAAGCAAATAATAGAAGAAATATAATGATACAGATATAAGCATGTTCCAGAATGGGGTTCAGATTCAGAAGATACAGTTCAAAGAACAACAAAATTTGTTTCAGTCTTGCAACTTCTCCAAGACCTAGGCTATTCCACTTCAACATAAATCATGTTATATGTTGGATAAAATCATATGCACATCTAGGCATGTTAAGTAATACTTGAGATATCGAAGCAAAAATGTCAATATGGCCTATTATATTACCTCACTCAAAAGAGAATTTGCATCACACTAGCTGATAGAACATAACTGGTTCGTATGTCTTGATTCCAGACTATAGAAAATAGTCATTCACAAGTAGATCAGACAACTGTGTGATACCTAAACTTGTATTGATTGCATAGGAAAGAGACAACATTTAATATCCATCACCAATTGTAACAGTCAGAAAATCAGCTTGATACTTTCTTTGCATTAAGGCTCACTCAATGCTTAAGAGAGGGTAACCCTTATCAACTACTAAAATATGTGTTGCCTACATCACATTTTCCAAGACATGTTTATTTTTCTTTTTCGTTTTTTTCCTTTTTTTAACAAAACAATTATGCACCACATGGTTAAGGTTGTGTCTCATGCAAAACCATATAACATTCCAGTGAAACAAAATGGATGTTTCCATTAGCCTGAAGTAGAAGAATCCCACTTCAAATAATACTGGACTGCATCAATCAAGAAGAAATAGAGTTCGACTTCCAGTCTGTGTATAAAATTAGCATCCATGCATTGAACCTGAGATCTCCACATCATAGAAAGTGGAATGGCTCCAATAAAGGAGGGTTAACAAACAATAAAATATACTTGAACGGATCCTACCAATCCTTGCGATAATTACATCAAGCAGGGTATGAGCCTAAACACTATCATATATCATGTTCTACCTGGAGAAAGAAAATAAACTATAAATAAAAGGAACCAAAAAATGGTTGCAATTCTCACCATAAATTTCCATCTGTAAATGCAAATCTTCAGCCCTCTTTGCTTTTTGGGAATTAGATACTCTCATAAGTAGACCATGGAACTATATATTAGTTAACACAACTTTGTTTAATAAGGCAGGGCAGTTAATAAGTAACGAAAAATAATTTTGGACTCTAAAAGATGGATGGAAACTATTCCAGTCCCTCATTGACAAATTAATTGCCTTCCCTTCTGAAGTGTCTCTGTCCCATGAAGAGGCTTTGGTTTGTTTTCATTATCCCTTGTTCTTTCAAAAAATGGTGAAGGCAGAAAGAGGCCTCTGTGTGTTACATGCATGTATTCCAAAAGTCCAGTTAAAATTATATCTGACTGAATCATCTAACAAACAGGCAAACGTTACCCGTTTATGATATGAATCTGAGCAAGGAATCCCTTGGCAAATGTTACCCGTTTATGATATTCACACCAATTAGCTTATATTATTTTACTCTAAATTTTCTTTTACACATTACTCAGTTAAAACAAGTGTTTGTTTTATTTCTCTAGATTTTTTACTTTACATGTATCTAATAAAAAATTGAATATGCCAAACTTTAAAATATATATATATATATATTAATAAAAACTTAACAAAGTAATTTTGTAACTTACAAGGCAAAGAATTTTTTTTTATATATAGAAAAATTTACAATGTCAAAATAAAAATAAAAACCTCATTTAGATTTTTCGCTTTGGGTAAAAAAATAAGAAAAAAAATAGTGGATACACAATGCCAAAGTAAAGTGAAAGCAATTAAAGAAATGTGAATATGACTGAGAACCGATGTTAATTTTGAATGAGAACAAATATCAGATATTCATTCTTTACGGTTACGGTTTTGAAATCAAAGCCCTAATGGGCACAACTATCTTGGGTGGCTATAGATATTAATTTTGACTGATAAAAAAAATTAATAACAGATATTCAATAAGGGCTAGGGTTTTGAAATCAGAGCACCAATGGCACATTTAGATGAAGCTTAGAGTTAGCAACAAACCTGAACTACGGAAAAGAGTTCTCGGATAAATTCAATTCAACTGGAAGGGAAGGGAAAAGACAATGACTAGGTCTTTGCTCACAAACCCATGGTGGAGACGTCCAGAGAGTGAGAGATTGTGAAGAAGATGCCGACATGGCTGAAGCACGAATCGCCGACGAGGCTGGTGGTCCTCGGAAGCTTCGGCTATGGTAGAAGGGAAGAGGGAGGAGAAGAGCCAACAAGAGAGTCAAACACGACTGATTCAATTTTGTTTCCCCTTGTAACCGACTACACCGGTTGCCTATTTGAGAGTTAAATTATTTAAATAATTTAGTTATGACCTGGTTATGAGATAATATGATATAAATAAATAACTAAATATAATTAAGTTATGAGTAATATGATAACGGTTATGACTAATATGGTATTAGTTATGACATAAAATCATATAAGCTCATAACTAAATGTATGGTACCTCTAAATGTACCATAGCATCACCCCTCCAGCAGCCATCTACACACTCTGGTAAGTTTTTTTCTCACATAAAAGCATGGAATTGGAGGGCAGTGGAGATAAGAAAGGAACACGCAATATATGTATATATATATTTGCATAGGTGGTTTTTGGCAGAAATAGTAAGATTATGTTTGGTTTTTGAATTTGTAAAAAGATTAGTGAGCAAACAAGAAATCAAAAATAGAAATAAAAAATAAAAAATAAAATAATTAACTTCTATTTCATTCACTTTTCTTTTCTTTTCTTTTTTTTCTTCACAAATTTATAAACCCAACATAAATGACAAATGCTACAAAACTGGTGAAACAGACACTAAAAGAAAAAAAAAATCTTCACAAATTAATTTGAAATTCAAACACAATTTAAAAATTTGAAAGATATGACATCACAATTAGGTTTTGAGAAAACAACTCCCCATCCATGATAAATTAATGCTTCTTGAAGTCGAGCAGAAAAGTGTGGGCATGGATAAGAATGATGAGGTGTGGTGGTTAACAAATTAAATGCCAGGATATCATTTTCTTTTTCCCCACTCTATATTTGGCATTGAAGTCTGCAATCTTGAAGTGATAAAAAACAGGCTTTTAAGTCAAAGATAAAGGGCACTCCTGCACGAGCAACGCAACGAGCAAAGATCTCTCCTTAGATTCTCTTTGGCTTCTTACTTAGTGAATTTAGATAAAAAAATGTGAAAAAAAATATAAACGAAATACAAGGAAAAAATAATAAAAAAAAAAATTTCTCTTTTTTCAAATTACTATTCAATTCATGATTTAAACACAGTGTAAAAAAGAGCAAATTACACTAACAGTCCCAAGAGTTTAGGACTCGTGTTACTTTAATCTCTGATTTTTCAATTGTGACACATTTGACTATAAATTTTTAATCTTATTCAAAAAATAAGGACAATTGAAGATATCATTACTCAATTTCAAAGGCAAAGTTATCAATTTGATAACATATAAATTAATTTGACAAAAATAAATGTCAAAAAAATATTTTTAAATTTGTAAAAATTATTTATATCCATTAAAGATAAAATTATGTAAAATTAATAAATCTTTTACACATTTATTTATTTATTTTACCAAATTAATTTTTATTATGTGTTTGGATGATGATCATGTAATGTGTGGTTGTTAGACTTTTAATGTGTAATCAATATATTTAGGGGTTGTTTGGGGTTCCTAAATAAGTGCACTTTTTTTATCTTTTTGGACTAAAAAGTTGAGGAAAAAAATATGGATGTTTGGATTAACTGTTAGACTTTTTACGAAAAAATATGTATTAAAAAATTGTATAAATAAATGTATAGGAGAAGTTAGCGATGTAGGCCCTACAGTTTGGCAAAGCAGTGGGCGGATTAAGAAATAGGAATAATTGCCTCCTTTTCAGGCTTGAATTGGATAGTGTTGTTCGGCCATGGGGGTCCACCATAGGTCCTGTTTCACTAATCGAA